AAATAAAAAATTATCATCATTATCAATGCAAAATAAACGATTATCATCTACTACTAGTTTGACTAGTAATCGAAAATCATCAGCAAAAAAATCTCGAGATAGCAAAGTAAAACTTTTTTTTGTTTTTAACAAAACCTATATGAGTCATTTTACATACAACGAGATATATCTATCTTTCAAAATGACTTTGATTCTTTATAAGGATCATTTTTTTTTAGCATAGACATATGTAAAAATGTTAGTTTTTTTGAAATGGATAGTAATTAATAAGTAATTAGTCAGTATTTCTTTAATCATATGAGCAAAAAAAATTGAAAATTGGCGTGTGTATGTGAATATCAGTCTTCTCTTAACACCTACGCTTACATCCCAGCCTTGACAGAGTCACTTAATGACATCCGGAATATTTTCGACATCTTTTTTTTTCTTTCGGCCAAATTAATACATATCTTTTTTGTTGTTATAAGGATTTAACCATACACTGAGACATAGTTTTTCATAGTATAGCGAAATTCACATGATGAAGTTTCTATTCCAAATCGATGCGTTTGGAATTCACATTGATAAGAAATTCAATCCGAAGATAAATACTTGTCTTTTTACATTCTTGTTATTAGAACTCGAAAAATCAGAAGTGTTTAGCCTTCTTGAAATATACTTATTTCCATGTTTTAATTTATAATTTTATTTAAATAAAAAATTTCTCTTTGTTTTTAGCTTCCTGTGAATATCAAAACAATTTCAGAAGTTGTTGTTGATGTACTCAATCCATATTATCAAGCAAATAGATTTTCATCTAAAGTATATAAAAAAAAAATTTTGAAAGTCGAATTAAATCTCATTGTTTATTTTTCTTTCAGGAATTGTTTAAAACACTTGCAAAGCGTGTTTCACAATATTTAGCTTGCAAAGAATTTTCAAATATTGATGCGGGTATATGAAAAGAAAAACAAACCAATTTTTTTAAATCAAAATTTTGTTTTATTTTATTTTTTTAATATTTTTAAGTACGCATGGATGCTAAATCATTGATTAAACCAGCATTTCGTCATAAGCATTCAAAAATCTTAACACATGCCGATTTAGATCGAATCGTACCACCTTAAATATTTAATTATGGCTACACAGCGAGAGAAAAAAAAATCCAAACAAACCAACAAAAAGAGAGTCTTGTGCACAAGAGAATGTGTTCGTCTAGTCATATGTGAACACCTATTGCCGGTGGCTCTCGCTTGTGTCATTCAATCTTCGTTCTTTTTTCTTTTCTTTTTTTTTCTTTGATTTGTTATTATCTCTCTTTCATTTTTTTTTTGTTTTTGTTGTTCTTCTCTCTTTTCTTTTTTTTTTTTTTTTTGCACTTCGGGATAATTGTTTGGTAGCTTTTATTAGATAGCACAAACATAAATTTATCTCGAGATAGCTTTTAATAAAACAAAAGCACAATGGTCTTGAAAGAAAAAAAAAAATAAAAAAGAAAGCCAGCGCCGACTTTCTATTTTTTAATAATCCATTCAATACCGACGAGTTTTAACAGTATACATACACCGATCAATGTGTGTGTCTTCTAGATCGGCGATATATTTCTTCGACAAAAATTTAAGATTATTTTATCGATGGATATGTATTAGAATATGGCAAACGATTTAAATAATTCGAATATCTTAGGTTAGTGTTATATGAATTTTGACTGTTGGATTTTCGGCTATGTCGATTTTCATATATATATATATATATACATTGGATTTCAATTAAATGGTATTGATAATCATATGGAAATTTTCAACCGGTCTAATATTTGGCATACATTTGACAATATTACTAATAATTGTATAACAATATTTATCGAAATTACTAACGAAGGAACTTTTTGACTAAGCTATCGAGTTTTTTTTTTCTAGAGATTTCAAGTTTTCAGAAAACTTGTATTTTCAAATTTTGTACATATAGAGAATTCAACTAGACTAGTTTCTATAAAAAGAAAATTCAGAAATTTTGAACAAAATTTCTTTGAGATACAAAACTTGCAAAAAAAAAAATGCATGTTGTATACATTATCCCATGGAAAAGAATCTATATCTTGAACATCACAAATCTCAAAGAAATTTTGTTCAAAACTTGTGAATTTTTTGTTTTGTGAGGATTAGAATGCAATGTAGTATCTATAGGCAAAAAACAAATTGAATTTGGAAGAGATTATGAGTTCAAGATACCGAATTTTTATCTGATGGATCTCGGTTTTGTAGTAAAATCTTTTATTTTTTGAATTTCGATCTAAAACTTTATACAAATAGATGTCTAAATTGGATAAAAAATTGTAGAATTTTTGGACACTGTATTTCTGAGAAATTAAATTTTTAAAATATTGAAAAGTCATAGATATTTTTCAAAAACTTAGTATGACAGATATGCAATGTGCAAAAATTTTAACATTTGTTTTTTTATTCAACCTCTATAACGGGTGAGCCATAAAGAATTGTCCTGTGAGTATTTTTAAGATTTCTCCTCTATTATCTCTGCGATTACAATAACTTTTTTAATGAAAAGATAGCGCTTAAAATTCTCTACGAAATTATGTATAACTAAATCCAAAAATTGTTTTTTTATATTAGTAGCTTGTTTAGTGTTTATGCGATCATAGAACCACAAAAAACGAGTGGATCTTGTAGATCTCGATCTGTTCTATAACTTTTCTTCTAAAGTGGTGATCGAAATTTTGATCAGGAAAAAAGTTATAAGATTCAGACGAGAAACAACACCACTTTATTTCGAAGAAAGCGGCATCCTCTGCGTGTGATTATCGTCAATCTTTTCCTGATGAAAATTTCGATCAGCGCTTTAGAAGAAAAGTTGTAGAACAGGCTGAGATCTACAAGATCCACTCGTTTTTTTGTGGTTCTATGATCGCATAAACACTAAACAAGCTACTAATATAAAAATCTCCACCAAAAAGTAGATGTGACATTCACAACCACCGTTTTAATAGTTATATTTTAAAGCTATTTGTATGTCTTTATTTTTCGACTTTTTTCAAATATATTGAGAACAATTTTTAGATTTAGTTATATATGATTTTGTAGAGAATTTCAAGTGCTATCTTTTCATTAAAAAGTTTATTTTAATCGCAGAGATAATAGTGGAGAAATCTTAAAAATATTCACAGGGCAATTCTTTATGGCCCATTCGTTAGTTTTTATCTTGTCTTCTAGATGTATATTGTGTTGTGTTTTTTAATACTCATAGTTATCGTGAACATTGTCGTTTTATCCATATGAAAATAAAAACTATGTATGAGGTGTCCTTAAGGTTCACGAGAAAACTAAACTTAAATATTGTGTACACGATTCAAGCAATCTCCATCTTATTTTTATCATGTCATGACATTAAGGTTTTTAAAGTTTTATTTCTTGCGATTTGTTTTACAATGAATATTCACAATAATGACACTCGACTAGAACGGATAAATCTGTCATTTTTGAAATATTAAGAAAAAACTATATTTTGTCCATTTATCAATTTCTTTTTCGTTATAAATATTTATTTAAAATTGAGCTTGGCATTGAATATATGAATGAATTATATTGATTGTCACTGCCCTCTACCAATACTATCAAACTTTTACATGCTTGAATCCGAATTTGTAAACTATTATCGGTAATTTTTTGGATGTGCATATGGGTACGATGAAGGTATGGATATGAATGTGGGTATATCTTTCTTTCGCCAAACACCCAAACCCAGATTTGCAAAAAGTCGGCCAGTTTGTATTTCTGCCCCATATTGGTTCAATTATAATGATGTTCAAGTCAAGTGCTTTCTTTCACGAGTTAATATCTTTAGATTTTTGTATGAAGATATTTGAACTTATTTATGCTCTAGTACATCTAACAAATCACTAATTTTTTCTTCTGTTACTACTTATGACGACTGTAAGCTCGAATAAACCATGATTATAAAAAGAATCAACGAGCAAAATAGAGTCTATAGATAGAGCTTGTCCATAGGTGAAGCAGTCAAGCACTTTTTACCTTCGAATAGTTACAAGTTACCTATTTGATATGACTAAAAAGTAAAACTTATACTGCAGCAAGACATACAAAAAATGTTTCACAGGATATTGCAAAGATCATTTTCTAAAAGTTTTTTTCATACATCATTTACTATTTGATTTAACTTTGTCAACTATTTTGTTAATGATAGGTCTATACACAGAGTTTTTATTTATATAAACGAACTTTTCATGGCCTGGATGTGAGTGTGAATGGATGAAGATCTCCTCTTCATACCTACACTTATACCCTGTACCAATCACTAGACAAAAAAACAAGGCATACTTATTTTTCCTTCATTGTCGCACATATTTTCTCTATCTGCTATTATTGCATCTTGAAATAATTATATGATGATAAATGAAATCGTATGTCAATAAAATTCATTACTATTGAATGAAGAATTTCTTTGAACTCATCTATGTCTTTTACAGAAGCTTATGATTATTACTTATCAAAACTAGAACTATTGAAACCAGTTTATTCAAGTGAAAAATATTGAAAGGAAACAACACATTCATTGATATTGAAATGTGCATTTTATGAGTACGTATTCTTCGCTTTAATTATATTTTCATGTTCAGTTTCTTTTATTTTACTGAAACTTATTTTGTGCAGATAACCAATAAGAGTATTCGGAGAGGTAGTTTGTCCGGTTACAACTGATCTTTGATTATGCTTTTGAATTTCAAAAAAAAAAAATTCTGAAATTTTCCGAATTTTTATATTCTCAATCTAGATTTTCAACTTTCACATCTGACAACCTTAGTGTGAGTGTTTTTCTTCTAATCATTACCCATATTCAGATCTTATTTTCTTTGATATGATGAATAGTTTCCAGTGTGTAAAAAAAAAAATTTGTTTTTACATCAAATGAAAGTTTTCTTTTTATTATAGATTGCTTTTAATTATTAGGTAAATAAGAATCAACTTATGATAAAATATTATGTTAAATTAAATAATAAATTGTATAGTTGTTGGATTAAATATTTGATAAAGATATTGTCGTTCACTATCCGAAATATTGTTATAGGTGGCTATAAGTGAGGTTAATCCTCTCATATTTGTCATTTGATATGGAATACTATGCAATTGATTATAATTAATTGTTAAGCTATTCAATGTCAATGATAATTCCGTAATTTCAAGTGGAATTGATAAAATTTTATTATAATTTAAATCTAAATTTCGTAAAGATTCATATTCTCCAATACCATCGATAGATACCAAAGAATTATTACTTAAATAAAGTTCACGAAGATAAATTAATGGTGATTGTTGAAAAATATTTCCTTGAAAATTATTTCTCGATAAATCAAGAACTTGTAAATTTGGTAAATCAATTGATAATGTTAATGGTAATGTTGATAATTGATTTACTTTTAAAATTAAATTGACTAAAGATTTTAATGTTAAAATACTTTCTGGAAAAGTTGTTAATTGACATCCAGATAAATCAAGATTTATAATTGATGGTACATTAAGAAATGAAATATTTTTCAATAGACTACTTGCTGTTATACTAACAGTTGATAATGTTGGTGTATTTTCAAATGAAATTGATTCAAAATTAGCTAAAAATGAAAAATTAATACTATTTAAATGAGATAAATTTTTGAATGTTGCTATTTTAAATTGTTTATTATCACTTAATGAAATTGTTTGAAGAATTGATATATTTTCCATATCTAAAGAAGTTAATTTTGAATTTGATAACATTGTTAATGATGATAATGAAGATAAATTTTGAAATTTTAATGTTAATAATTCATTATTATTTTGAATTTCAATGGAAGCTAATAATAACATATTAACAATTTCAATCGTTTGTAATATTGAATTAGATTTTATAGTTAAAGTAGATAATCCATTAAGATTTGCTAATTCTAAATTTTTAATATTTGTATTAGTTATTTCAAATTGTATTAATGATTGAAAATTTTTTATTGTTGATGGAATAGTCGATAAATTTGGTAAATCAATTAAATTTAAAACCCTAAGATTAATTAATTTACCCATACTTTCATCAGGTATTTTATTAAAATTTGGAATATTCTGTAATATTAATATTCGTAATTGAATTAAATGATCAATTTCATTTGGTAAATCTTCAAGATTTTTAATATCAAATAATTTTAAATATGATAAAGATATTAATTCTCCTAATTCCGATGGTAAATGTTGACCAATAATACCATTATCCGATTGAATTAATAATGATGTTAATTTTTGAAAATTTTTTATGTCAGATAATATTGTTAGATTTGTATTTACTAATTGAAGATTTTCTAAATTTTTCAAACAATATATATTTGAAGATGGATTAACATTATTAAATATATTGAAATCTGTAACTTGTGATTCATAATTGAGCTTTATGGATGTAGATGAAGGATAAAAATTAAGTGAAACATAAAATGGATTTAGATTAATAATTTTAAGATCATTGGTATAGATGGTACAATCGATCTCTGCATTGTTAACTAAATTCAAAATAGATGAAAATTACAATTTTCTTTCATTGGAAAAAATGTTTTTGTACTTTGAATATTGATGGCTAAGAAATAAATAACGAATAATGATAGAAAGACTTTCATTTTATTTTTCAATTATTTTTGTACTTTTAATCTCATTCAAAATTTCTTTCTAATAGTCATCAAATGTCAGTTGTCGATTTTCTCATTGATGATTATTTGACTCATGATTTATTGATCAAGATTAGCAAAGCTGATTAAAATCCCAGAAGTAAAAAAAGAAAAAAATTAAAGGTCATTATTATTTTACAATTACAAAGCTAAATAACATGTATTTGATAAAAGTAGAAGATGAATGCATTGTTTCTGTAGGATGTGAGTGTATGGAGTGGTTGTGGGTTTAAGTGTGTGGATATTGTCTTTCTCTTCACCAACAATCATACCCACAGCCACAGCAACATCCACCCCACAACTACATCGAAAATCGCTGTTCTGAAATTTTTACAATTATCTAAGAATACCGAATGGCTTAATAGTTAGACCGATGGCTTCTCACTTCATACATTTAAGATTCTAATCTTTATATGCTTGGCTTTCTACCACATAATACCGAATAACCATGTTGTATCCTAGTGGATCTATTATGAATATATTATTGTATCGGCAGATTTATTATACAAAACAGTAACATCTACGTACTTTGTCTTAATTATTATCCATATGAAAAACGAATATCAAGAAAATATTAAGAAATAGAGTAATTATTTTTAGAAAAAAGAAAGATTAACATGGATAAGTTCGTATAATAAAATCAATTGAATATTGGCAGAAAAAGAGTTTTTTTTTAATTTTAAATTGCTTCTAAGTAATTTAATTCGAAGATAAAATCTCGATAAATGATAAAACTAATGATAGTTAAATCAATTATCAATTAACATATTCTCGCGATTTTGAATACTATTCTCAATATTAACTATCGCTTGAACTTTATACATTTTAGATGGAGCAACTAAAAAGAAATAAAAAAAAATCTTGATAGAAGAGTAATATAGTTAACATAATATAATCAATCACCTTAATCATGACTAATGGCCATGACCGTCTCAAAAGCCTGGTGATGGGTTAACAAACTAGATATACAGAAGAGATTCACTAAAAGTCTAGTCTACTCTGAAGCATATCACACTCACATATACTCTAGTGAGCTCTTGATTCGTATGTTAGAATATTAGTATAAAGAATCTTTAGAATCAACTTTGAAATAAAATAAAATATGACAATTTCATTTGATAGAACTCATCAATATGTATTTGAAATGAGTTTCTGGATGAATTATAGATGAAACTAAAGAAATCTCAAACTAACTCCATCTATATGATTTTGTATACAAATTTTGCAACCGCATGTGTGTTTTTACTTTCTTTCCTGTACATGCAACTGTTGGCAAAGACAAGTATCTACGTTAAATTTTTTCTTTTGCGCCGTTACTTTCATTTTATTCGACATAGACGAACATTAACATGTTTCTTCAAAATACGATCATGTTTGGATGATGCATGAGAAACAAAGTAACACTAAATTTATTACTTTTCGTGCTTGTTTCCTGTTACTTTTCAGTTACAAGTTAGTTCATGAATCGAATTTGTTTGGTCTTGTTCGCTACTAAGCTTTCTTTTTCGATATATCTATGCAAACAATATTCATCAGAAGAAATATTTACTTTATACTACTTGACTGACATGTTCTCTAACAGAAAACCATCTGTCAAGATCGCCATCTATATAACATATATATATATATTTATATAGATGGACGGTTCCTGTTTATAATTTCACCAAACCAAGCACATAGAAGTTTCTATTTTTTTTATGATAAATACTTGTCTCTAGACCTATATCTTGCCCTAGTAAATATGTGAAACTGATTTCGAAATGATTAAAATAACTATGTTTCATAAAAACGACTTATTTGTTTTCATTTTGAGATATAATAAATGTTTTGTTATGAGATTTCATTTTATAACCTTTCCTTTCTTGTTTTTTGATTGTATATTTGTAAATAGTATATATTATACGTTGTGGTGGGTACTACTACTTTTTTTTTTATGAAAATAAATAATCGTTTCTTCGTGTGTTTCAAGAGTCGAGGGTGTGACTGTGACTGTTGATCTTCTCTTAACTGACACGTCACCCTCGCCCATACCCCCAAACTCACACACATCCACACCCCCATCCCACCAACTCAAATAGAAGGTACCGATAACTTGAGGGTGTGAGTGTGAGTACAAAAAATCGCACTCATACTCATCCATACTCACCTACCCACACCCACATTCTACTGTCAACTGACCTAATGGCAAGGATACCTTGAACTTAGTATATTCACTCGCGATTCATAGTTCTCTAAATTTGTATTTGATTCTTTCGTTGCATCTTGAAAAAATTTTACATCAATTTCTTGTTTAGATTTTTATATTATTTCAGATTTATAAAAATTTTGCGAAAAACAACTTTTTCAATTAATCATTGCATCATCTGTTCATCATGGTTGTCGTTCACCTCAGTTCTGACATTCTGGTTGCTGCATGTAGATGTTTCAGTTGTATTTACTAATTTTTCTTGTGCTCGTTTTTCAGATTCACGTCTGATCCATTCTTGCTGAATTAGAATTGGTAAACCAGGATTAAGACTTAATTTATATGGTACCAATGACTTTGGCAACTCATCAAAGTCCACTATAGCTTTGATAAACATAATATCATCACGAACATAGGGATTGCTATCCTGTTGTATTATTGTTAAAGGTACAAATTTAGGTATACCAGAAGCGATATTCATATCTGAACAAGGCCTTTGAAAACTGCTTGATTTCACATCTGGTCGAAATGAATCGATAATATGTCGTTGTTGAGAAGTTTGATCAAAGAGACAAAATGTTACTTTGTAACTGAAAGGAAATTGAAGCACCGAATCATATTCCCCACGCATCAGTACAAAGAAAAGAGACATATGAGTGCGTCGAGCATTACCATCTCCGGCCAAATATAGACGAAATCGCATCTTATAACCATTCGGTGATGAATAGAATACAGGAGAATAAATAGATGTCTGCCGTTCACACTCAGCATCAACTAAAAAAGTTGAAAAGAAAAATATAGAAATGAAAACTTCGATGCTATAGTTTATTTAAATTTTCTTTTGAAATTAATTAATGTTTTTTTTTTTTTGTCAAATGACACTTGATTGACAAAAACAAAAGTCACTCTTTTAAACATACTCATTTTCTTTTGAACATTTGCAATTCTCCATATCAGTGTGCCATCAGTGGAAATATTCTTCAAATCATCAAGCTGTTGTTGAAGTGAATTGATACTTTCTTCAAATATTTGTTGATTGACTGTTTGAGCATCTATTGATGAATGTGTTTCTTCGATAGCGATTTTCATTTTTGATAAGCCATCGGACAAGTATCGTATTGAATTTTCATGGTGAAGTAACTCTGAACTAACATGTTGAATGTCATCATTTAACGATTGTATCCCACCCAATAGAATATCCGCTGTTTCAAATAATGGTTTAAGATTTGCATGAGAAATCTCTTTAGTTTCTCTATCGGTAGTTATTGTTGTATGAGAAGACATGTCTGATTGACCATTGATTAAATGTTGATTATGTTTAAAAAGATATTGAAGTAAAACACTTTGATGTTGTTCGCTTAGAAAATGGCTTCGTGTGTTCACGCGAAGGAACTAATAAGAATAAAGTCTTTGATTTGTAATAAAGTTAAAATAAAAATTTCTTAAATACCTGTTCAGTACAGCCATATGGTTGGAGGAGACAACTGACAGTGAGTTTCTCACACATAGATAAATGTTGGTTTAAATCATCAATTGTTTTGAACTCTTTACCACAATATTCACACAAAGGATTCAAATGAACTGTAGCGAAATGTTTCTGAAAAAGAGAGACAAAAAAAATCACAGTAATATATAAGAGAAAAAACATCAAACACAATATTACTTGATAATTCTTAAATATACCACTCCACTCGCAAAGTGAACACATAATATTTAATTTCTCCATGTCAAGTTGGCATGCCTTGTCAATAATTATCTTAAAATCAAAACAGAACATATTAAACATACCTGTAAAGAAAGACAAACAAAAAGTTTATCCTACTTGATCTCGTGGTGTCACTTCATTGCAAATGTTGCATTTGACTATAGAACTTCAAATAACAAAAAAAATTTAATTCAAATCAATTAACAATTAAACACAAAGAAAAAACGAATCATGTGCTTACCTTTCTTCAACATTTATACATGACTGACAAAAGCGATGTCCACATATCAATTGAATAGGATTTCTTAGTAAGAAGCTACACAACCAACAAATATATGTCACTAGGGAATCTTTGTTTCTTGCATCAAAACCAATTCTTCTATTAAGACACTGAAAAACCAAAAGTATTATTTCAGGAATAATAAGTATCAATTCATTAATAATTAAATATAACTCACTTGTGATAATGATCGACTGCCTTCCATGAAGTTTGGATCGTGTGTCTCGCACATTGTAATTCTAAGATAGAAACAAATGAATATTTTTTTTTATTACACAGCTCATTTCAACATAAGTTGATCGATAACTAAATATGCATATAGTAATTAAACCATGGAATCGATACTATTATCTTGAAGTCAGTCTCGCATTTCTTTCTTATTGTCAAGTTCATCCGAAGACAGTCGAAAAAAGAATATGAACTTATCAGATGAGTATTGTACTTAGAGAATGTTTTACAATCAACTTCGATTCTTTGTCTAGCTTTTGTAATTCAAGAATAAACGCTTTTAATATGTAATTAACAGATTGATGAATCTTCCATTGTATAAGCTTCAATCAAGGCTTGATCAAGTACACTTTAAAAAGAATAGCAAGTATGTAGAATGCACCATTCGATCACAAGCCCAAACTGATAGGAAATATAGAATAAAGAACAGAAATAGAATCAATTTGTTTTAGAACCGAATCTCACTTGGATTTGTACTTCCGACAAAAGTTCATTCGATTTGATTCAATTTAAGCTTTAAAAAAGTATCAAAAGTTCTAAATTTTAGTCTTTGATTCAAACAGACTTGACCTAGTGTTAATTAACTGGACGAATAAAATTAAAGAAAAAGTTCTGCTAACATTTATTTAATAATCATTGATTGAATTGATTGTGATAAGTTCTGATACATATTAAAAGAGTTTTATTCTTGAATGGTTTTGGATCACAAAACCTAGACAAATAATCGAAGTCGATTCTGAAACAATCAGTAAGATATATATCGGTGACATTGTTTTAGTATAATAAACATCCATTACTTCACATACATGTTTGCCTTATTATCCATGATTAATTAAATTGATCGAGAAAGTTCGTATTTCTTTTCGTCTTCGATGCTTTTTTAGACTGTCTTCATATGAACTTGACAATGAAGAAGAGAATCCAAAATCAGTTCGAAGAAAGCGGAATTAATCAGACGGATTCGATACCGCTATAGCTGAGTGGTCAAGTTGTTTGGCAAGTATTCGTAAGGTATTGTGTTCGAGCCTCCGCGTTATCATACATGAGATAATTTTAGACAAGTCACTAACGATTGCTTGACTCGGATCATCCGTAAGATGGTATACTGACTACGTTGTGATACAAGGGCGGTCCATGTGGCTAGTAGGTAGTAGTCAGTGTAGGTGAAAAGTTCGACTGTTTGAGAGAAAGAACTGAGTCAGGTCGATTTTCGAAGCTGTCTCTGAACAGCACTTTATACTGCAAGACAGCTGAAAGACGAGGTATTCTTCTCCTTCTTCACGGCGATTCACAGAGGTATATATATATATAGAATTTGAGGCTGACTATGCATTAAGCGAAAACAATGGACTTCCACATTCTCAATTGCGTCACATATGAGCTATATTTATAAGCAAAGCGTGTACACCTTTCGTGTTACCCCAGGAGGAAGCTAGTCATTTGCTCTTTGGAAATTTCCAAAAAATGAAATGCATCGTTATATAAATGTTATTTATTCTTAGAAAAAAAATCAATCGGTATAGAAAACGTAATCGAAAATTGTAACAGCGGAAGAGGGGAAGGCACACATACCTCTTCCTGATTGAAAATTATTCATACTACCTAATTAGACTACCTGCATTTTTTTATTTTTTTACTTCCTCGATGAGACAGTATCTTATTACATTGTCTACCGTCAAAAACATGAAAAACACGCTCAGTTTCTGAGGTTAATAGTAGGATTATATTTTTCTTTAGTAAAAGAAAAATCAATTCCACTTACTTTCTGTCCAAACAATATATTGTTTGATAGAATAAATATTCAAACTAATGAAATATTAATCTAAAAACAAATAAAATAATATCTTTTTTTCTTGCAAAAAGTTACGTGAACTATTTTAAATAATGATTAGAAAGACATTCATGTTTCAATATTCAAAAGAAGAAAATAGGTCGGTGTTGAATAAATTAAAAAGATAAATGAGAAAACTTTATTTACTTCGTTAAAATATTGCAATATATTATTCTAATAATTACATCTATAAAAAAAACACTGTATGATATTATATTAAGAATTACTCACAGTTCCAGCGAAGAGTAGCATAGTACAAAAAAATTTAGAGCGGATTCGGCTTACTTCTAGCAATTTTTCAGTTACTGTTGAAAACTTTGAAGTGTTTTCAGTGTTAATGTGAGTCCTTTCCTTCTTCATAATTTTCTTTTTATGGTCGTGCCACTACTTCACAGATATCTATAGATCATAACGCATTGTAATAAAACAATCTTGATAGTTTATTATTATATACATATTTTGTGGGTTTTTTTGATGATTTTATAACCTCAGTGGGAAAAAGAAAGAAAAAAACCCAAATTAACTGGTTATTATTTCTTTCTTTCCAGTCTAACATAAATCCTTTTTATTTGATTTTTTTTCCCACTCGGCGGCCGCTTAGATATTTATCGTTTAGTGCTATTTTCATTGTTTCCTGGTAAATTCCCATGATACGAATGGACGCATGAATAACATACATGAGGTCAGTATCTATAGTAGTCATCTGTTTAGGTTGAGTAATACCTAGTTTCATCTGATAGCCTTCACGCTTCATTTATTACCTTAATGTTGATTACTAATATCATGAGTCAATACAAATGAAAAGCAATCGATCGGTACAATCATGTGGAAATAAATTTTGATTCTATATTGTAAACAAAATTATGTACAAGTCACATGGATAGAACAAAAACTATAGTTAAAATGAATGATGATTGTGAGTTGAGAAATTCGAAAAATACTTCATATCAATTACAAATTCTTTCAATAGTAGAAAAACTTTGAAAATAAAATTAATTTTAAAACTTCTACATACATTAAATATTCTACTTGTAAGTTTTTGGCGAATATGAGTTCAGTTTATTAGTGATATCTTGATTATGATGACAAACAGAAGAATAATAGAAGAAGAGGAGATACAAAGAAGAACGGTTAGAGAATAAGATAACGAATATAATATCTAATAACAACAGAATAGAATGAACACGAATATATATATATATATATAAGAGCAGGTTGGGAAAATTCTCTATACGAGCTAAGATAGCACAGTGGAAAATTTTCAATACGTGATGTCAAGAAAATCCTAGATACGAGATGTGGATATTTCCAACACTTGTGAATGTCCTTGAATTCTCCATCTGAACGCTACAACGAATAAGTAATATTCAAAGATAATTGTCGAACATTAGACTTATAAGAAGCAGTAGATAGGTAAATTTACTAATAATTAGTTACAAGTTTCTATTGTATATAAATTCTACGAGCAATCATCAAAGATTTTAACGATTTCAAAATATTGTAGATAGTGTGATCGATGCACTTTCGTACTATATAAATTAAAAAGCATAACTATTGTATTGAAATATGAACTTTTCTATAACCAGTTTTTTTTCATTTGAAGTTATTTGAAAATATTTCGAAAATTAACTATTGTATCAAAATAAAAGCATTATTAAGAAATTTATAAAAATATTGATACAAATCACATTGATTCATTCCTAACGTTGACATATTCTGACTAATTACTATCAAATTACTAGGAAATTTAACAAAATAAAGAAATTACCTGCTTCATTACACATTGATATTAATATTATAATATGAAAAAAAAAACCATATGCAACGATTATTCATAGTATTTGTATTTACTGAGAAATATTGGAAATGACTAATACTTTACGTGGAAAGAGTCTTCTGCTTAATATTAAAATACACTCATATTTATATGAAAGCGATCTATATTATTTCCACGTCTAGTGAAAGTTTGATAGTATTTTTGCAGTAATTACTGAAATTCGATCGCGATTACTGACCTAAAATTTCGTTTCCATGTGTTACAGTGTGGTTCACTTGTGTTTGATGTTTCTTTCTTTTCTCTGTTCTGCTGTTGTACCGATGATCAGTACTACATATATATATATATATCTCCTTTGGATATTGCTAAGGAATTTTTCCTCTCATTCATGTTTTCTTCCTGCTACGTTCGGTTATTTCCCACTTCATTAGTGTATATAACGATTATTTTGGAAAAATCAACA